GATAGTAAGATATACAAAGATTTTTGATTTAAAGTTTATAATCTAATATGAACTATAAGTAATGACTGTGGAAGAAATGCATGAAAGTTATTTGTAACCAATCGACACGCTTTCTACAAGATGTAATGAAGGATGATTCTTTTTTGTGTGTTGATGTTCAATTAAAATTAAAAAAAACTTTAGAAAAAAGCAGTTTATCATTCCTGTTTTGTACTTTCTTACTTGGAGTACTTTGGCCATTTCAGGTATAATTTATTATTTTCTTTAATTTTTTTTAAAAAAATTACCCTCCTATTTTAATGCTCAGATCCAATTTTTGCTAAGTATGTAGATGATCAAAAAGTTTACTTAACTGTTATTTTCATCAGGTTACCTTTCTATAGGATCAAAAACTTGTGACTGGACATGCTCTCCATACAACCAGATTGTGAATGGACACACTCTCCATGGTGCCCATCCTCCCCACAAAATCTATAGCACATTCCCAACCATTCAGATAAACTGAAAACATTTACTAGCTCAGTCAATGCATTAAAACTGATGGAGAAAAGAAGCGGAGCATTAATCTCCTTACTATTTTGTAGACATGCAGGTTTTATGCACACATACAGTTCTTCGTTGCAAAAACTTACAACTGTGAGGTTTTCAAAGTTATTGATTAGAATACACCATTTAAAACCATTAATATTTCTAGCAGACACATGTATCTGCTTTATCTAAAATGAGTTCATAAACATTGTACAAAAGGGCACCAGTTTTTAATGTAAGATTCCTAAGTAAGATTCAAACAGTGATCACAAATAGTTTTATAAAACCAAGTACTGTATCATAGCAATGTTGGTTTTATAAAATGCATTCATTACTTACCTCATTAAGGATTTTATTGACTTTCCTTGTATGCACAAATGGAACAGCTTTGGGCCCAAAATTGTAACCAGTGCCCTTGATGTGTTCAAAAATTTCTTTATATTTTATCTGAAAAACAAATGCATACATAGACTTCAGATTCAGGTGTCTTTAATAAATAGAAACTGTTTAATAAATAGAACCAAAAAACCAAATGAATCATGTATTATATATAATGAAACCAATATTTTATGTAAACATATAGTTAAAAGACCCCAAATTGCAGTTATGTCATGTTTGTCTATCTCAATACTTCCCTTAATCTATTTGAATATTTTAATGAAACCTATGATTTTATTATTTTCTTTTTTATTTCTTTTAAAATTATCTGACTCAATTGAAAGAAGAAGTCAATAAAAGAAAGATGCTTGAAATTACATTTTAGAAATATATGTACATTTAAAGCAGAATGAAAATTATATGACAGATTTTTGAAACAATTGTGATTTTTTTTCTTTTGCGGTAAGATAAAGTTTTTCATCTTATCCTAAATATAAAGTCATACAAATCTTATAGTGATACAGTAGCTTTGCTATACAGAGGTCCTCACATGAGCAGAAAATCTCTTGCATAAATGAGGGTTTTTTCCAATATAACACAAGTTTTCTATAGTTAAGAAAAGACTAGATATGTATGTGCATGCTATCTCATGCCTAAAAGCTATTTCTATACTCTTAAGCATGAATAAGCATAAATGTTGTATTATGGAATTATTTTGGGTGCTACTGTAATCAGCTCCCAGCATTACTTTAAAAATGTTAAAAAAAGAAAAAAATATTAAATTTATGCAATTACAATTGTCATACCCATGTGCGGAACCGAAAATCAAGATGGCGCCCCATTGAGAACTGGTTCGAGGGCATGGCAGGCCTGGGTCTCTGCTGGTTCCAGTGACCCAGGCTGCCAAAACACTACTGGTTTGACTGAACAGGGCCGAACCAGTAGGAACCCACCTCCAACTGTAATGTATCTTGTTTAATATTACTCCGAGTATTTCTCTCATTTTGTCTCTCTCTGTCTGAAACTAAAAATTAATTAAACTGTTACTTACATCACTGCCTATATAGTAGGCATGTTTAGCATGCTTGAAACCAGGGGTATCTGGTGGGAGTTTGTATCCAGTGGGAAGGGCATGCAAGCCAGCATTCCGGTAGAGAGGCTGCCAAAATCAAATGAATAAATCAATAACAATTAAAATGTATAATAATATGCAAAACCCTTTAAGGCAATTGTTGGGAAACTTCAAACTTGTAGAATCAACTTTGGATATGCTCTAGCACTGTACAAGCAGAAGTCATACCAGGCTCAGCCCATACTCATCCCCCCNGCCCCAATATATAAACAATAAAAACAATACTGCCCAGACCTTTTGGAGACAACAAACAAGCCATCTGATGGACTCCATTCCACTCTGGGTTCCCTAGGCCCATTGACAAAATCAGATCTTCAGGAGCTTGGAAAAGAGTGTCAAAGTGGGGACCAATCTAATCTCTGCAGGGATGATGTTCCAAGGGGAGGGAGCCACCACAGAGAAGGCCCTTCTTCTGGGTTCCACCAGCTGCACCCCCTTAGGAGAGGGAACCCATAATATTCCCTGCCTCCCTGCTCTGCTGGGTCAGGTAGATGTTACCAGGAAAATATGGTTCTTTAGATAAACTGGTTCTATGCCATGTAGGGCTTTAAAAGTGACAATTAGTATCTTGAATTGCACCCGGAAGCAGATATATGTTCTCTTTACTGGCTCTAATGCATTTTGATAAATTCTTTTTAGGAAGAGAAACCATAAAGACAAAAAAAGTATTATCATAGACCCTAATATTTGTTGCAACCCATCTATATGTATTCGCAATAATTTATTCTAAAATTTTAAAACAAGTCTTGCTTACATCACTTGTAATTTCTCCAACATAACGGTTGTGTACAGTTTGTGGAGTAAACGGTAAGGAAATCAAGTGTCCTTGCATCTTGAAGAAATCAGTCTTGTAGATAAGCTAAAATAAAGAGAGAAGAAGAATAAGTTTCTCCGCTCCCAGCAAAATCAAACACAACACAAATTGTGCATTTAATATAAATAAAATATGCCTACATCACTGAAAGCTTCTTGGTTCATTTTCACTTGGCGAATGTGTGGAGTATCAGGTGTAGTATGAATCTTATCTTTATTTTTATGATACACCTCCCGATACATTCTCTGTAAGAAAAGAAAAAGGATGAAATAAAAAATTAAAATTAAAACTTAATCTATTTTGCACAGTATTTCCTTAAAAAACACTTATTCTGATCATTTGGATAGATAGAACCAACCCATGAATGCTAAATAATAAACACATGAATTAGCTATACCACTTAAATTAACACAGGCAGTCCTTGACTTACAACAGTTCATTTAGTGACTGTTCAAAGTTACAATGGCACTAAAAAAAGTAACTTATGATTGTTTTTCACACTTATAACTGTTGCAACATCTCCATGATCATGTGATCAAAATTCAAATGCTTGGTGTATTTATAATGGTTGCAGTGTCCCAGGGTCATGTAATCACCTTTTATGATCTTCTTATAAGCAAAACCAATGGGGAAGCAAGATTCACTTAACAACCATGTTACTAATTTAACAACTGTGGCAAGAAAGGTTGTAAAATCGAGTACAATTCACTTAACAAATGTTCCACATAGAAATTTTGAGCTCAATTGTGGTCGTAAGTCAAGGACAATCTGTATTAAGAGTAATAGAATACACATGAAGCTCCATGCTCAAAAGAATTGCTTTACAGCGAGCAACAAAAGCAGTTTATCATTCTTGGGAGAAGGAGGAGCCAACGTTGTAATGTCACAATGTGTGGTCTCGATACTCCGAGACCACCATTGACACTTTTGCTGCTGGATGGTCCATTGAGACCTAAACCATCCTGTAGAGATGGTGATCAGGAAGACGAAGCCTTGCTGGTCTCAGGGACATTGCAAAGTCCCTGATCAACCCAAGGGAAGTGCTTTAAGCCGGGGGTAAACAGGCAGCCCCTAGGCTGATGAAGTCGGGACGGCTCCGGAAGGAAGGAAGTGAAAAGAGAAAGTGAGTCCATCTGGTGAGGTATTTTTTCTATTTTGCGAAAGACTGCCCAAAGGAAAAAAAAAATTTAAAAGCCAAATTAGATCCTTAAGCAAAAGAATTGAGCGGCGAAATTAACCCTAATTGGATTGCTTTGGAAAGCTTTTTTTTCCTTTGTAAACTATTCTTTGTGGATTGAAGTGCTCGCAACGTTTCTCATTTCTCCTCTTAAAGTGAACGGATTGATTTTTTTTCTTCTGATTTTGGTTGCTTTATTTTTTGACTTCTGGATTAAAACCTTCCTTCTCATTTTAACAATTCTTCCTATTACTTGTTACTAAATTTCACTAAAAGAAATCTAATCTTGTTTCCTATAAACCAGAGATAAATATTAGAAAGTGAAAAGTAGC